AAGTACACAAGCACGACCTAAGCGCGCGCATCGTGGAACTCGTACAGCTTCCCGATCGCGAGGAGCGGTAGCGTACTTTATCTTGACATGGAAGCTATAGACTCGTACCAATATCCTGACATGGAATACTGTGTGATAGATGTAACGCTGCCGTCGCATTCCGACAGCAACGGCAAATATAATTCTAAAGAAGATGATGTTGACGCTGACGAGGATCAAGCTGACACGGATAGTTCAGATGCTACAACCACCAACTCGTCCCGAGTATAGTACCCCCGCAATGCCAGCGAGGGGTTCTTCTCTTCAACTGGACCCCAACCTGTCTACCTCAACGGATGACCCATACCTGGGATCCGATTATGAAATGGTGTCAGAAGTGGGAGATGTGCTAGACGAGAATTCTTCTTCGTCGGATGAAGATCATGACCAGGAGGACGAGGCGTCACCAAGCAAGTTAGCAGCGGTTGCAACGGCTTTGGAACTCGAGGGATGTGTTGGAGGTAAGACAGTTATCTTGACATGGACGGACTACAGTCCAGACTAATCCTGCGTCTGTCCGTGTAAATGAATTACATGCTGACAGGATCAGTATATCGTTTCACATATATACTGGGATTATACGATTTTGTTTAGAATCGTCACCCTTGTATGATAAAGATCAGTTGCGTGAAATGTCAACACACGGCTGAAATGTGTTTACCGAAAACACGCTTGTCAAGGTGGATACAAGTGGAGATGTAGATGCGCTTTATTCGGGTTATCGAGGTCCAAGTGAAGGGATACTGGCGGGCGGGCTGAATGTAATGGAATTGATTCTATTATTTCTCCCGAAGACGTTACGACAGCAAATTGCTTCCGAGACTCGCCTCTACTGGGAGCAGACTCTCGAGGATCGCGTGGAGAAGGCATTCCTAGCGCAAACCAGCGCCGAGAGCGAGAACATAAGGCCGCCTTGCACTCGTGACCATATCCGGTCCAAGCTACACAACTTCCGGAGAGTGCAACCACACGAGTTATTGCATTGGATCGAGCTACTGGTTGCTAGAATGATGGCGCCAAAAACGCGGTTGGCCGACCACTGGTTTGGCGCTAAGTGCGTCGTGATACCTCAAGGCAGCTTTGGACAAGTTATGTCTCGCGATAGATTCAAAGATATCACTAGATTTCTTCACTTCTCGGAAAATGAAGATCCAAAGCGAGACCGGGCTTGAAAACTTCGCCCTGCTCTAGAGACGATTGAGCGCACGTTCGAGGCGGGCTATGTGTTGGGATCGCACATACCGATCGACGAAGGAAGGCTGCCTTGCAAGAACCGCCATAACCCGACAAGAACCTATATAACAGACAAACCCCACAAATGGGGGTCGAAGTGCGTAATGACGTGCTGCGCGTTCACGGGATACTGTATACAGTACGTAAATCTATACCGACAGGAATGCTATAAAGTACTGAGAGTATCCTGACATGAGTAGTACCGAGCTAGATGTGGGAAAGAAGCATCAAATTCAAGACGGGCGAGTCAACGACACGAAGAGCGGACCAGCTGCGGGAGTGAGAAAGCTATCGTGTCTCTTTGAGAGAAAATCTTACGACGGTCGCTGCGTTGTATTTGCGGATCGGTTTTACACGTCAGTACCTCTCGTACAGCGATTGCAAACAATGGGATTCCATTACTGCGGGACGATTCAAAAGAACCGCTTGGGTTGGTGCAAAGATGTCACTTACAGCTTCAAAAAGCCCTAAGAAAGTAGCACGAGGAACGTTCAAGCTGCCATCACCAGTGTTGAGGCACCGTGAAAAGAATGGAGCAATCTCGACTGTCGTGTGTCCGAAACTTGTTCGTGAGTACCAAAAGTACATGGGGGGGGGGGTAGACAAGCACGACCCGCTTCGTCTTCAATCATACTCTCTTCAGCTTAGTACTC